AGACACTTCCAACACCTTTGTAGCTGTTGTGAATCTCGAGTGCTGCCGAGAACAAGGTAGTGGGGTCTCTTTGGCTCAATGGCTTCATTTCCTCTGTAGTAAGGTTTCTAGGTCACGTAGCCATTTCGTTTGAAAAAATTAAAAAATTAAGTTCTTAATTTTTTTTCAGGCATTGGTACTGTTTTCCACAATGGCTGGACTAATTTCCAATCTCACCAGCAGTGTGCAAAGGCCTCTCAATTTAGTACACAGGCACTGTGTACTGTGCCAGGAAGAAGGTTAGATTCAGCCTCACTTGGAATTACTTAACTAGACAATATTTTTTAAAGATTTATTTATTTAGTGTATGTGAGTACACTGTCACTCTCTTCAGACACACCAGAAGAGAGCATCAGATCCCATTACAGATAGTTATGAGCCACCATGTGTTTGCTGGGAATTGAACTCAGGACCTCTGGAAGAGCAGTCAGTGCTCTTACATGCTGAGCCATCTCCCCTGCTCCTTAACCAAACATATTCTCCCACCAAATTCTAGACAGATAATCTGTCTGATAAGCACCCCTTAAAGAGAGATTTTAGAGTAGATCAGAAGAGATTAAACACAATTAAGAGACCACTTGCCTAAGTGGTAGAGTGGACAACAGCTCCCACAGGAGGCCACTTGGTTTCCTACAACAGAAGCGGTCATCATGGCCTGGGTGCTGTCCTGGGCAGTGGTGGAATAGAGAAAAATCAAGACTTACCCAGTGATCTTTCATGTGTTTCTACCACGTGCTGGTGTTGTGACTGAACCTTTCTCATGGGTTCTCTGGAGCTCTCATATTCTGAAGTTTATTTCAACTGCAGTTTGATTCCAACTAAAAGCAGACGTGGAGGGATTCTCTGATTCCAACCCAATGTAGGCACTCATTAGATAGCAAATGTAGTTGATTGGAAAGTGCTGAGCTGAATTCATGCAGTGTACCACTTAACTATTGACGGGTATCTGAAGCTCCTGAGAAGCGAGATTGGTCCGCTCAGCAGTTCAAAGCTGTGAGAACATCCATCTTTCATGGACACCCCAGGAAGGGGCGGGGGAAAAAAAGTATGTTGTATATGTGTCAGTGAGGTTTCAATTGCTGTGACAAAAATCCCTGAGGGGAAAAAAAAACAAGTTATACAGAGGAAAAATTAATTTGGATTCATGGGCTAAAAGGTTTTAGTCCAAGTTTTTGGACCTGGGGGTAAGCAGCATATTGCTATGGGGAGCCTGTGGTTAAGCATTGAGCCTACACCATGGTGATCAGAAAAAGAGGCAGAGAGGAGATGAGGTCATAATTGCTTCCAAGGGCATGCTCCCAAGTCAAATCACTGTTTTTCCTTTCAGTAAGCCACACCTCCTGAAGGTTTCCCCCAGGTCTTTTCTGGGGAGCATTCAGGATCAGAACCAGAATAATATTTTCTGGAAGGGCATATTTAGAGAGAGGGGCTGGGGGCCTTATGGTGGTAGACTTGCCTAGCATGTACCAAGTTTGGTCACAGCACTACAAAAACCCAAACCAAAAAACTCTGGAATACATTCTAGGAAAAAAAAAAACAACAACATTCAATTTCATGTTTTTTAAACCCTCATATAATATTACAAGGATGATTATTTGTAGTAGACAAGTGTTTATTTGAGGATTTACTTGGTGTATATCAAAACATTAATTGGATGCAATAGTTTTCCCTTGTGCACAAATCAATCAAAGCCTCCAGGGAGAATCTCGAGGGCTCTGTGCTCAGTAGGCAGTGCTAGCATTAGCATGTGTGCTCTGCCTGCTTTGTGTATGTGGCAGGGGACTTAGGAGAACTACCAAGGGGTTTTCTTGGATTGTGGAAACAAGTTCCCCAGAGTTTGCCTAACGAAGCTCTTAAGGGACACTTATGTCATGCATAACCAGTCTTAGGCATGAGCATATGCACACACACACAATGTGAGAAAGCACGTATCTGTGTATGTGTGTGTGTGTGTGTGTACATGTGTGTGCACAGTTGTACCAATATTAATTGAAAGCTTCCAAGTGCCAAGTACTATACAATTACAACTCTTGGGAGACAGAATTAGCCAAACACAGTCTGCCTGGGGTCCAAACATTGCCCAGGGGAGAACTTTGCAAAGTAGAGATTTGAGTCACATTCCAGGTCTTCAGAGGTGAACCAAAGACCCTAAGGTGTGGATTAAATTTAGCATTCATTGTTTTACTATGCATCACTGCTTATGTGGATGTGTTTCTGAAGAAAATTACACACAATAAAACAGCCCCTCCTAGTTTTGAAGTAACTCTCTTTTCCATTAAAGGAAAATACATCTGGATTCGTTCCATGGAGGGCTCATTAATTCTGGCACCTTGTTTCTTCCACCCCACATGGTTACTATTTTCATTTCCCTCTGGGGAGCAGAGTCCCAGTCTAAAATTGCTGATAATAAGGATAATAAGCTCAGAGACGTCCTGGGGGTAACAGATGGAAAACAGTTTCCTGGCCTCTCTCTGTTGGCCATTGGACAGGGAGAGGTGGGTTTTCTGAAGGCTTCTGATCTAAGTGCCAGGAGGCCTTTCTGGCCACTGCTCCCTCTTACGCTCAGCAGTGGTTCTCAAAGCACAATCCCTAGACCAGCATCCCTGGACCAGCATCCCTGGACCAGCATCCCAGACCAAGATCTGCCTGAGAATTTAATTGGTGCAATATCTAAATTCTTAGAACAATGGATCACAGAGCCTGAGACGGCGACCTAGGAAAACATGTTTTACCATTGGGCTGTATTTACACTACTAATAAAGTAACCGGGACAAAAGCTCCATTCTCACCACATTCTAGTCTAAAATATCTGTGGTGGTTTGAGTATGCTTGGCCCAGGAAGTGGAACTTTCAGGAGATGTGGCCTTGTTGGAGTAGGTGTGGCCTTGCTGGAGGGAGTGTGTCACTGTGGTAGTGGGCAATGAGACCCTCTTCCTAGATGCTTGGAAGCCAGTCTTCTCCTGTTTGCCTTTGGAACAAGATGTAGAACTCTCAGCTCCTCCTCCCTGCCTGGATGCTGCCATGCCATCATAGACTGAATCGCAAAAATCAGTAAGCCAGCTACAATAAAATGTTGTCTTTTATTAGAGTTGCCTTGGTTGTGGTGTCTCTTCACAGCAATGGAAACCCAAACTAGGACAGTATCTAATGTCAACCATCAGAATGAAGAGTCACAGCGCTGGCAGTCATAAACTCATCAGCAGGCAAGAGCTCCAAACACACAGACTATTGAGAGGGTCCGGGGAGCAGAAGTAGAAGCAATAACTGTAAAAGACACAGAAAGGCAAACAGAAAGTAAGATACACACATACAGACAGACACACAGACAGACACACAGACACACACACACACAGAGACATATAGACATACACACACATATACACAGACACACATATGCATATACACTCACACAGACACACAGACACATACACACAGAGATACACACACACACACACACACACACACACACACACACACCAGCCATACCCCATGCTTTCTATTTTGATGCCACACTTAGTCCTTAGGCAAACATGGTAAAACAGTGGTGTCACTCTGAAGGGCTCCGTAGTGTGAGGGCGGAAAGAGTAATGCTCATGACAGGTGACAAGACAAAAATGACCAATGCTGTTTCAGGCTCACAAGGTGCCTGCCATCTCAACACCCAGCCCTGCATAGCTGCTTCTGACCCCTCATGTGTAGTGTGGTGCACAAAGAGGCCACAGGTAATACACAGATGAGTTATTCTTACTGGTTCCATCAAAACCTTACTACAAATAGACCACAGGCTGTGTTTGATCTTTGAGTCACAATTAGCCCAAAACCTGCATATTTCTGACTTAAGTGTTTCCTTTAATATTACTATTGGCAATAAATTCTCTTTTTCCTTTCCTTTCCTTTCCTTTCCTTACCTTTCCTTCCCTTCCCTTCCCTTCCCTACCCTTCCCTTTCTCTTTCCCTTCCCTTCCCTTTCCCTTCCCTTCCCTTCCCTTCCCCTCCCCTCCCCTCCCCTCCCCTCCCCTCCCCTTCCCTTCCCTTCCCTTCCCTTTCCCTTCCCTTCCCTTTCCTTTTCCTCCTTTTCTTCTTCTTCTTTTCCCCACTGTCTTAAAAAATATTTTTCCAGGGGGCTGGAGAGATGGTTCAGGGGTTCAGAGCACTGACTGCTCTTCCAGTGGTCCTGAATTCAATTCCCAGCAACCACATGGTAGCTCACAACCATCTGTAATGGGATCCAATGCGCTCTTCTCGTGTGTTTGAAAACAGCGACAGTGTACTCACAAACGTAAAATAAATAAATAATTCTTTTTTTAAAATCCTGTTTTTTCTGGTTAAGAACACCCTTGATCCTTAGCCCTGCAGGCCGCTCCTGCAGAGGATCTGGTTTCAATTTCCAGCACCCACATGGTGGTTCATCAGCGTCTGTTGCTGCAGTTCCAGAGGATGCCCCAGGCACACATGTACTATAGAGACATACAGACAGCAAAGCATTTGTACACAGAAAATAAAATCATTTTTCTTCCTCTCATAGTAGGAAGATACACAGAATGTTGGATTTCCTAGCTTCTTTTCTTTCATCATTTAAATGTTATACTTGTGTCTTTCTGGCTTATGTTGTTTCTCATGGAAATGGAAATATGGGTTAGATGGCCACATGAGGTAGCTTAAATTCTTTTTTGAAAACATTATGTGCTTTTAATAGTTCATCACTGGTAACATTACACAATCATGAATAAGTTAACAGGTTAGCATTTTAAAATGTTGACTTTAATAAGTGTGCAGGTCTGCTTGAGGAGAAGCTGACCAAGTTACATAACATAGGAGATACAAGGGACCACCTGGAGTTTCTACACTTCATTCTTCTTGCAGAATATTTATTAAGGTTGTTTAATATATGATTTTTCATTTGACATTTTGGAAGTCCTTTATTGTAGAGATAATCCTTCTGAGGATGAACAGCAGCCGTGATGATCACTCTGGAGTTCCATACTGGGTAAATTCCATTTCTTCTTCTTCTTCTTTTTTTTTTTTGGTTTGGTTTTTCGAGACAGGGTTTCTCTGTGTAGCCCTGGCTGTCCTGGAACTCACTCTGTAGACCAGGCTAGCCTTGAACTCTCGAACTCAGAAATCCACCTGCCTCTGCCTCCCAAGTGCTGGGATTAAAGGCGTGCGCCACCACAGCCCGGCCCATTTCTTCTTGAAATGTAAGTTTTCTTCTGTATTTCAGAGGTAATGTTTTTATTTTTTCTGCAGTGTCTGATGGTCCCTGATGTATCAGCAAATCTGGGGTCATACTTCCTTTTGAATGCAATGCATTTACAGAGATATGGGAGGGTAGCACAGCATCCCAAAGCTTCTGAGGCACTGTTATCTCTTCTGTTAGGGAACCTTATTAATGGAGCATGTGGCTTTGCTACCTGCACGACCTTGCTGGCAGAAGCCATCTTGCTGCCCATCCTGACCCCCGAGGCCGTAGCTTGAGTTCTTATCTTCCTGTATTTATATGTAATATATCTGTCTTCCATGATCACCTTTGAGAGTTCCTGTTTAGCGCGCTCTCTCTCTTTCTCTCTCTCTTTCTAACAGTTTGAATATGTGTTTAGGTATATTTTATTTTGATATTTATCTTTGAAAGTCTCTGTGACTCGTGAACTTGTTTGACATCTGCCGTTGTTACATCAAGAGTCTCACGCTTCAAACACTTATTTATTTATTATTTAGGGACAGGGTCTCACATTTCCCAGGCTAGCCTTGAACTCATTCCGTAAATAAAGGAGGACGATTTTGAACTCTTGACCCTCCTGCCTATGCCTCTTGGGTGCTGGAGTTAAGTACAGGCATTTGTCAGCACATCCAGTTTTACTCTAGGCTGGGGACTGAACCCAAGGTTGTGCTCAGCGAGCTCTCTACCACCTGAGCTACCTCCCCAGTCCCTAGACAGCTCTTCTGTTGCTTCTTTCTCTCTTCTCCCAAGCTTCCTACAAGCCGCTTATGACTTTGTCCTGCAGCACCCGGGGACTCTGCTCGGTGTCTCTTGCTCTGTTCTTCCTCACTAACTTTGGATCATTTCTGTGGCCTTACATCCTCCGTGACGGATTGTTTCATGAGCTAGATGGGCTTGTGGAAGCTGTTCATCTCTCATGTTGTTTACCATTTCCTCCTCCTCCCAACCCTTCCTCCTCCTCCTCCTCCTCCTCCTCCTCCTCCTCCTCCTCCTCCTCCTCCTCCTCTTTCCTCCAGCTGAGGTTGAACCCATAGCCTCATGCCCACCTGTGTTTCTATTTTCTAGATTCTGTAACTTCCATTTTTCTTTTGAAAATTCCCTACCTGTTCATGCATGTGACCCATATTTTTCATTAGATCTTTTTTTTTAAAGGTTCATTTATTTTATTGTCTTCAGATAAACCAGAAGAGGGCACCAGATCTTATTATAGATGGTTGTGAGCCAACATGTGGGTGCTGGGAATTGAACTCAGGACCTTTGGAAGGGCAGTCAGTGCTCTTATCTGCTGAGCCATCTCTCCACCCCATCATTAGATCTTTTAACATACAATTTCTATATATTTTAAAGTCTTCCTTTAGTAGCGGTGATATCTAGGATGTCTTTGAGTCTGATACTGTTGACTACCTTGTATTTTCAGAAAGGAAACAGTTGCTGTTTTACTCTTTTGGTATACATTGTTATGTTTTTTTTTTAATTCCTGTTTTTGTTGTTAGAGTGGTATAGAAACCAAAGTATGTACATGTGAGTTAAGATATCTACCTCTGATCTACCTCTGCGGTACATCCTCAACACTCCCCCCCCCATTTGAAAATTGCATTTGAGGGCAGTGAAAAGGCTTAGACAGCAAGACTGCTGGTTGCCAAACCTGATGACCTGAATTCAATCTCCAGACCAACATGGTGGAAGGAGTGAACGGACTTCTGAAAGTTGTCCTTTGACTTTGAATAACATACTGGGACATGTTCCCTACCCCAGCTCCCCACCAAATAGATAAACAAATATAAATAGAAAATTACTTTGAGGCAGGGTCTCACTATATAGTCCAGACTATATATAGGCTAGCCCGAGACCTACAACTGTCCTGCCTTAACCTCCAGAATAGTTGGAATTACAGGCATTTGCCATCACAGCAACCACTTTTTATAATTTTTTTTCAGCACTGGGATTGAATCTTGGACATTTTACATGGGAGGCAAGCATTCTGTCACTGAGCTATAGCCAAGCCTGCAGATGCTATTTTTTTTTATTGAATACCCAGCACCATTTTGTATGTGAAATGAAACCAAATTAAGAAAATAGTACTTGCCCCTGGAAATGAACACGTCTCTCCACAGATGCGCAGGGCAGTAGACTGAGTCCCTCTCATTAAAAGGTGGAATGAGATTTGGCCAGGATTGTCTTCATTGAACCAGAGCTTCCCAGTTCCCTTGTTCTTTCCATTCTTTCTTCATGTCCAAAGTGCCTAGTTTCCAGAAGCCTTTATTTGTTTAAGTTGCTTTGCTATGGGTCAGACGTTGGACCAGGAAAATATCCTCACTGATTTACATAGCCCATACAACCTGTATCATAAAGAACACAGAAGAAATGAGGTGGCTGCATCTCCTCCTGCCTCCCCCAGTAAGATGTGTTCCCAGACTAGGAGATGCGAAGGCAAAGAACATGCACATCTTAAAGACTTTTGCTGCCTGTGGCCAAATTGCTCACAGCAGGCTACAGGATGTATTATTTTCTCCAGACCTATGTATGTCCTTATTTCCACACAGTCACACTGATACTAAGAAACATTGAAACTTTAAAAACCCCAAACTAGGGGTTGAAAATGGAGCTAGCTTAGCTGATAGTGTGCTTGCTTAACATGTACAGACTCCTGGATTGGATGGCCGGAAACACATATACCAGGCATCTTGAAGGAAAAACAGAAGTTCCTAATTTAATAAAGGACCATTGCTTTCCTCTCTCCTTCCCACTCTCCCTTGATATCTCTGTCTCTCTCTGTCTTTCTGTCTTTGTCTCTGTCTCTCTCTTTTTCTCTCTCTCCCCCTTTCTTTCTTTTCTTTCCTTTTCCTTTTTTAGACCGGATGTCATGTAGTCCATGGCGTCAAATTTTAAATTCAGTCAAGGCTGGCAAATTTCTGATCCTCCTCCCTAAAGTGCTGGGCTTTGTGGCATGAGCCATCACCCAAGGCTCCATTTGACACCCTGCACTGATGGGGTGTCTGTGTTCCCCATGTGCTGAGTAAAATGATGCAGAGGTGAAGGAGATCAAGGGGCAACGTGAATTTGAAATGAACTGAGAAATGAAAGGTGCACAGGATGTGTTCTGCAGCTTGTGTTCCGGGAATACTCAGCCTATCTCAAAACTGGTGCTGAGGACTGGCTGAACCATGAGGAATACTCTAAAGAGTCGAGGACCAGTGGCTCTGCCCTGCTCTACTAGCCTGGGTGTTTAGGATTGAAGTGTGGGGAACATCAGAATTCCTGATTGCTGATCCTGAGGACTCTGACTCATTCAGAGATGCAGGCCCCACTCCTATTGGAAACACTGGTCCTAGTGGTGGCAGCAGGCTCTTTCTGTGAGTCATGGTTGTCAGAGCTGACTGGAGGCTGATGGCTTTCCTTTTTTTTTCCTGTCTTTCTTAAGCATAAACAAGAGAAGACAAACCCACAGTTTACTTTCTGTTTCTTCTTTTTCCTTTATTCTTTTCCTACAATGAAAATCTGAAACACTAAACTTGAGTTTAACAACAAGAAGACTCTGTTAAAGTGTGAAAATGTGTGGACTCTTTGTATCCTGTTCTCTGTGGCAGACCTACCTTCATCCTTAATACTCCAGCCACACTTGGGTTTCAGTGATCGCCACTGGGAAGTGGGGGGTTTAGAACTTGGCACTGAGACAGGGGCTGTGTGTCTCTTTCTCCTTTACTATAAAAAATAAGGCTCATGAAGGCAGGGTCTAATTCAGCCTAGCTCAATGCTGGATGCTTCTAAAGGAAGAGATTGGCTTTTCATTGATGAATGAATCACTGCTGTTCTGAACTTTTTTTTCCTCTTAGTAGAAAAAAGTACTTGGTAACAATACCAGCCCAGCTTGCCTTCCTCTCCACTCAGAAGTTTCGTTTGGATCTGAGGCCTGGGAACTGTGATGTAAAATTCACTATTACCCTGGAGATCACAAGACACAGAAATTGCTAGAACAGTTTGGATTGAAGAAGAACTTCCACTGTACCTCATATTCAAAGAGTGAAAAAAGTAAGACTAGACCGTAAAACTAATCCCTCTCTTCCAGGTCTCCTCCCAGGCTGCTCCTCAGTCTGACTTCAAATATGGTTCCTGCTACAGAGCTTCAGCTGGGTTTTTGATTTTGTCTCCCTTAAACTTCAGTCCGGGTGGGAGCTTACTCACAATTCCCTTGCCCTTGAATTGATTTCAGTTCATCCCTAACCTCTAATCCTGCTTTTCTTCTTCAAATGTTGTCATTTTTTCTATTCATTTTCTTTATTCACTTTTCAACCTGATTGCAGACTCCCTCCCTCCTCCCCTCCCAGTCCCACCCTCATGTTCTCTCCTTCACCCACCCTCCTCTTCTCTGAGGAGAAGAGGTGCCCCCATCATGGGTACCAACCCACCCTGGCAGATCAACCCTTGGCAGGACCTCTCCCATTGAGACCAGAAAAGGCAGCTTAGATAGGGGAAAGAAATCCAAAGGCAGGACAGTCCCCTCCCACTCCAGTTGTTGGGGGACCCAGATCAAACTGCATATCTGCCACATATGTATAGGGAGCCTAGGTCCATCCCATGTGTGCTTTTGGTTGGTGATTGAGTCTTTGTGGTCCAGTCATTGGTTGGCCATTCCCTCAATCCCTGATCATTTTTTTTTAAAGATTTAGTTATTTTTATTATGTATGTGAGTACACTGTCGCTGTCTTCAGAAGAGGGCATCAGATCTCATTACAGATGGTTGTGAGCCACCATGTGGTTGCTGGGATTTGAACTCGTGACCTCCAGAAGAGCAGCCAATGCTCTTAACCTCTGAGCCATCTCTCCAGCCCAATCCCTGCTCATTCTTTATCCCTGCAAATCCTGTAGGCAGGACAAATTCTGAACCAAAGGTTTTGTGGGTATGTTGGTAGCCTTTCCTCCACTGGAAGTTTCGCCTGACTACAGGAGGTGGAGACCTCAGGCCACCTGCTGATAGGCGCTTAAGCCAGCGTCACCCCCATATTTCCTAGAAGCCTCCCCTGTCCGAGGTCTCCGGCTTGTCCCAGAGATGCCTCCCCCCAACACTGAATTCCGTTCTCTCTCCCAGCTCTCCCTACACCCGATCCTCACCCCCATTCTTCTCCTACCTCTCACCTCCCAACCAGTCCCCTCTCTCCATCCACTTCACGTATCTATTTTATTTCCCCTTCTGAGTAAGATTCCAGCATCCTCCCTTAGGTCTTCTTCGTTACGTAGTTTCTTTGGGTCTGTGGATTGTAGCGTAGATATCCTGTACTTTATGGCTAATAATATCCATTTATAAGTGAGTACATACCATTCATGTCTCTCTGGGTCTGGATTATCTCACTCAGGATGATATGTTCTAGTTCTATTCATTTGTCTGTAATTATTCACTGATGATATAATAGCATACATAAGTGATCTCCAAAATTCAACCGAAGAACTCCTACTGCTGATAAACACCTTCAGCGAAAGGGCTGGATACAAAATTAACTCAAAAAAAAAAAAAAGACATTAGTGGTAGCCCTCCTTTATACAAATGATAAATGAGCTGAGAAAGAAATTAGGAAAACAACACCCTTCACAATAGCCACAAATAATATAAAATATCTTTGAGTAACTAACCAAGCAAGTGAAAGACATGTATGACAAGAACTTCAAGTCTTTCAAGAAAGAAGCTCAAGAAGGTCCCAGAAGATAGAAAGATCTCCCATGCTCGTGGATAGGTAGGAGTAACATAAGTAAAAATGGACATTTTACCAAAAGCAATCTACAGATTCAATACAATTCCCATCAAAATTTCAACTCAATTCTTACAGACCTTGAAAGAGCAATTCTTAACTTCACATGGAAAAACAAACAAACAAACAAACAAAACCCAGGATAGCTAAAGCAATCTCGAACAATAAAAGAACTTCTGGAGTTATCGCCATCCCTGATCTCAAGCTGTACTACAGAGCAATAGTGATAAATAACAACAAAACCAGCAAACAAGCAAACATGGGATTGGCATAAAAACAGACAGGTTAATCAATGGAATAGAATCAAAGACCCAGAAGACTACAGACACTTGATCTTTGACAAAGAAGCCAAAACCAAACAATGGACAACAGAAAGCATCTTCAGCAAATGGTTCTGGTGTAACTGGATATCTGCATGTAGAAGAATGCAAATAGACCCATACTTATCATTCTGCACAAAACTCAAGTCCAACTGGATCAAAGACATCAACGTGAAACCTGACACACTAAATCAAAATGAAGAGAAAGTGGAGAATAGCCTTGAACGCATTGGTACAGGGCCAACTTCCTGAACAGAACACCAACAGCTCAGGCACTAAGATCAAGTGCTGTCTTAATACTCTTTCTGCCTCTGTTTGACTTCACCATCTGTTCTCTCACTGCCAGGTCAAGACTGTTGATTATGTCCTCCCAGCACCCCTACTCTTCTCTAGGGTTCTCCTCTTCTGCTGAGGTCCCTCCACCTGCTGGTGGCATGGAGGAGGTGGCTATCATTTGTGTGTCAGGAGTTGGAAACAACCTCAGCTTCAAGGAGGAGAAAGAAGTTTTAATTCAGAGGCAAGGGAATGGCACATTTGTGCAGACTGACAAACTAGTCTACACCCAGGCCAGCAGGGTACTGTGTGCTTGCATGTGTGCCCAGGGACAGACAAGGCCAGGGAAATGTCAGTGCATAGTGATGGAGGTTTGTGCATTGGATAGCAGGCTTACAGAATATGGAGAGAGACCAGGAAGTTGATGGGATGAAGTTTTCTGGCTTGATTGTGAGTCTTATTTTAGTAAGCATATGAGTGGAGTTGCTGGTGCTTCCCCGTGTCTAACACAAAGGTACGGTATCTCCCAGGGGGTGATGTATCACCTGTAGTTGGGTTAATGGTTCTTATGGGTGAGAACGTGTCTAGTGTTTGGCTGGAACCCCGTTCTTCTGTTCATTTTTATTTTTCGAGGCATTCCACTCTGAGGTCTCACACTCAGGAGCCCTGGAGAGAAACTGAGAAACTGTGGGCTTCACCTTTCTCTCATACTAAACAAATAAAACAACCTCCCCTCTCCACAGCCTAACGGGGTTTTCCTGACTCAGAAATACGTGTGAGGAAATAAAACAGGCGGAGGGAGATTCTGATACGGGAAACCCTCTTTGCTAAGGATACCTACTTCTTTTCTAGTGTCTTCAGAGTTATCTATGAGCGGCAACCTCATTCCAGTGGAGGATAAGGTAAGAATTCAGCCCAGAAGAGGGAAAGGTGCTCAAACGGCGGTGGAGAATGTAGAGAAGGGGCTGCGGGGATGCCGGCTGTAGAACCAGTGCAGGAAGGAGTACTAGCCTCAGGCACCACACCCCAAACACGAAGTTAGTGTGGGAAGCCGCATAGGTGGGAAGCCAGGTTCCAGCCTTACATCCACAAATCAGTTAGGATAACATTCCCCAAAGATGGCTGCATTTGCTTATGTTTAAAAAGACCTATTGATCCGGGCAGTGGTGGCGCATGCCTTTAATCCCAGCACTTGGGAAGCAGAGGCAGGCGGATTTCTGAGTTCGAGGCCAGCCTGGTCTACAGAGTGAGTTCCAGGACAGCCAGGGCTAGACAGAGAAACCCTGTCTCGAAAAACCAAAATAATAATAATAATAATAATAATAATAATAATAATAATAATACCTGTTGGGCTACAAGATGGCTCAGTGGTTAAGAGGCATTGCTGCTGTTCCAGAGGACCAGGGTTCAATTCCCACCCCTCACTTGGCAGCTCACAGCCAACTGTAACTTCAGTCCCAGGTGATTCGACACACTCTTCTGATCTCAGCAGACACTGTGTGAGCGTGATTCATGAGTGATGTGTGCATACACCTACATGCAGGCAAAATTTCATACACATAAAATAAATAAATCTAATTGTCTCAAGAACTGCCAGATTGATTTCCAAAGTGGTGTTATCAGTTTGCAGTCCCACCAGCAATGGAGAATTATTCCTCTCTCTCCACATCCTCACCAGCATTCGCTGTCACCTGAGTTTTTGATCTTAGCCATTCTGATTGGTGTGAGGTGGAATCCATGGTTGGTTTGATTTGCATTTCCCAGATGACTAAGAATGTTGAATATTTTTTTAAGTGCTTCTCAACCATTCGAGATTCCTCAGTTGAGAATTCTCTGTTTAGCTCTGTACTCCATTTTTAATGGCTCTCTGGAATCTAACTTCTTGACTTCTTTGTATATTTAATATACAAAGACCCAGCTATACCAGTGGGCATATACCCAAAAGATGCTCCAACATATAACAAGGACACATGCTCCACTATGTTCATAGCAGCCTTATTTATAATAGCCAGAAGCTGGAAACAACCTAGACGTCCCTCAACAGAAGAATGAGTACAGAGATGTGATACATTTACACATTGGAATACTACTCAGCTATTAAAAACGACTTCACGAAATTCACATCCATTCAAATTAGAGAATATCATCCTGAGTGAGGTAACCCAGACACAAAAGAACACACATGGTATGTGCTCACTGATAAGTAGATATTAGCTCCAAAGCTCACAATGCTCACGATGCAACCCACAGACCGTATGGAGCTTAGGAGGAAGGGAGACCAGGATGTGGATGCTTCAGTCCTACATTTAGGGAGGAACAGGATGATCGTGGGAGGTAGAGGGAGGGGAGGACCTGAGAGAGAGAAAGGAGGGGGAAGAAATAACAGGTGCAGTATCAGGAACTGGAGGGGATGGGAGAGAGGTACAGAGGGTCAGGAAACGGAATAAAATATGTGGCTGTGAAGGATGGGGAACTGGGGCAGCCACTGGAGAATCCCAGACACCAAGGAAGCCAGAGCCTCCCAGGACCCAACAGGGATGACTTTAGCTGAAATGCACAGTGAAGGAGAGGTAGAACCTGAGAGACCACCTCCAGTAGGTAGAAACAGTCCCCAGTCAAGGGATGAGGACACCCACCCATCTCAAAGTTATTAACCCAGAAATGTTCCTGTCCAAAGGAAAGACAGGAACAAAAAATGGGGCAGAGACGGAAGGAAGAACTATCCAGGGACCGACCACCTTGGGGATCTATACTGTCTGCAGGTACCAAACCCCAACACTGTTGCTGTTGCCAAGAGGCGCTTGCTGACAGGAACCCAGTGTGGCTGTTCCTTTGGTAGGTTCTGCCAGCAACTGACCGATGCAGATGTGAGTGCTTGGAGCCAACCATCAGACTGAGCTCGGTGACCCTGGTGAGGGAGTGGGCAGAGGGACTGGAGGAGTGGAGACGGATTGCAACCCCACGGGAAGAATAATGTTGGCTGGCTGGACCACCCAGTGCTCCCAGGGACGAGACAGCCAACCAAGGAATGTACAAGGAGGGATTCATGGCTCCAGATACATATATAGCAGAGGATGGCCTCGTCTGGCATCAATAGGAGGAGAGGCCCTTGGTCCTGTGAAGGTTTGATGCCCCTGCTGGAGCAGTGGAGTGGGAAAGGGTGGGTGGGAGAACACCCTCACAGAGGCAAAAGGGAGGGGGACAGGCAGATGTGAGATGGGATTATTTATGGAGGGTTAACCAGGAAGGGATATCATTTGAGATGTAAACAAATGAATGCTTAAATAAATAAATAAATAAATCTAAACAAAAAAATCTAAAGACTTTCTTTTCAGAAATAATAATTTGGCTTTGCAGTTCAAATGTTAAGACATGTAGTTCAGGGCTGGTGAGATGACTCAACGGTTAAGAGCACAGACTGCTCTTCCAGACGTCCTGAGTTCAATTCCCAGCAACCACATGGTGGCTCACAACCATCTGTAATGGGATCTGATGCCTTCATATGGGTGTCTGAAGACAGCTACAGTGTACTTTGGGCCAGAAAGCGGGTCTGGAGCAAGTGGGGCCCAAAGCGAGCAGGGGCGGAAGGGGAGGGGGGCTGGAGCGAGCAGAGCAAGAAAGAGAAGGAAAAGGGAAAAAAAAGACATGTAGTTCAGGGGTTGGGAGAGAAAGAACAGGGTTTACTTATTAAAAGGAAAAGTAAGAGTATGCACTTCTGCTATTTTATACAAATTAAAAGGCAACGCCTCTTAATTAAAGGTTGTAAATGCCTTTAATACCAAAACTCAGGAGACAGAGGCAAGCAGATATCTGAGTTCGAGGCCAGCCTGGTCTTCATACTGAGTTCCAGGACAGCCAGGGCTACACAGAGAAACCCTGTCTTGAAAAACAAAACAAACAAACAAAGACCCCAAGTAAACAAAAATTAAGAGGCAAGATAATAAATAAGGTTATTTATAAAGTAGTCAGCTTTCTTCTGGCAACATTAAATGTGGAAAATTAAAAGTATGGTAACTAGGCAAATATACTTCAGTATTCCTCCAACTCAGCCCTTAACATTTTGTCTTTTCCTAAAACCTATATTTTTCGTGTTGCTGGAGATAGAACCAAGGCTGAGCCATGGTAGGCAAGCACTCCCTCACAAAGTCACATGCTGATAGTAACTTTTTATAATGGGTTTGATCTTATTATGAGCAAGTTGTGGTTTTTCCATGCTTTGGCCCTTACCTATTGGATGCCCCACCGTAGTCTCCCGGTTTGTTAGAGTGGAACTTAAATACAAGAAGGGCATTTTTTCTGTTTTCTGTCTCCATGGCTTCAGAGGTTCCTTTCCCTGTGTACTTATTACTGACTGGCAGCCATAATTACGTTGTTTCCCAGCTTAGAGTCTTTTAGCTTCTCTTCCCTTTCGTCTGTATCTCTTCTTTAGCAGAGTTTAATAATGCTATTGGGTTTTGATTTCAAAACTACAGGGGCAGTCTCAGCCAGTGCTTAGACTCTACTGCCCCCTATAGGTTGGTCATTAGCTACCTCTGTTAGACTCTCCTCTGCCCAGATTGTTTAAAGGGTTGTGGGCTTTGTTTTAAGGCTTGATTTCTCTTCTAAAAAGATTTTCCCTCCATATTCCACCTACACAGGTCTAGAACTGACATTAACAAAAGGAATTTTACCAAGAAGCCAAGGAAGAAGCGACAAGTTTAAAGAACACAGTAAGTTCATACTTGGGACAAGACAGGAGAATGAGTTCAAGGCTACCTACTGAGTTGAAGACAGCCCGAGCAGCATGAGATGCCACCTCACTCCTCCACTGTCAAATAATAAAGAACACAGTATTTTACACTCAGACCCCCACCTTCTAATAAACAAAGAACACAGTATTTTACACTCAGACCTCCACCTTCTCAAGTAAATAAAGAACACAGTATTTTACTCTCAGAGCGCTAGAATACAGCTGAAATGGGCCAGTGAGATGGCTCAGTGAATAAATGTGCTTGCTGCCAAGCCTGATGACCCAAGTTCTTCAGTCTGTGGGGCATATGTGGTAAAAGGAGAGAACCAACTTCTGAAAGCCGTCCTCCGAGCTACACACACACACACACACACACACACGCATACTACACACATACACCACACACTATACACACTCACACACAAGTGCATGCACACATACCACATTCATACTACACATGCACTCACACATATACACACTCACACATACATACACCCACACATAACACACATATACACACACACATACAAGCACACAACACATAACACATACATATACCACACACATACAAGCACATACATATATACACACACCTGTACCACATACACACTATAAATAAGTAAATACAATAAAATATGGCCAAGATAAATTGATGACGCTCCATTCAGTTCCTCCCAGCCACTTCTGGCTAATGGGCCTCTTTCCCGACCCTTGACCCCTGTGTTAAGAAAGTACTTTGCTTTCTGAGCGTCTTTGTCTAGATCCTGAGGCTTTGCATAGTGATAAAAGTGATATTTGCCTCCTGGTTGTCTAAATATCTTCAGGTCTGTGGGAAACTTATGTGACTTTGATCTTAGCTCTTGGCCCTTAAGTTTTTATTTAAATTACATTTTTACGTGTGTACACGTGAAAGTCAGGACGTACATGTGGAGGTCAGAAGACAACCTGAAGGAGTCAGTTCTCTCCTTCCACCTTGTGAGTGCTGGGGATCGAACTCAGGTCCTAGGCTTGGCGGCAAACGCCTCTACTGACTCATCCTGCTGGCCCCTTCTTGGGTTCATGAAAACGTGTCACAGTCCCTTCTTTATGTCATTTGTGTTCCTGTCTCGGGAGAGTTAGAATTACGTGGTCCTTTCTCAATAATCAAAGGTGTACATTGTTTTTATTCCATCCCATTGGGGGGCGTTAGATGCAAACTAGTTTCCTCTTTGGAATGACTGTACTTTCTCTGAGCCTGTAACTACAAACATACGGTGTCAGCATTCATTTACCAACCACCTTTAGAGAACACTGCACAAGATCTTTTAGTGGGCTACTTTAAAACTTAAAATTGTTTTAGCATGAGTGAAGGTAAGGTCCCTCCTCTCCACAGGCTTCCAGGTGTCAAAAGAAGGTGTCAAGGGATGATTTGCTCCAGAGGGGAGGTTTAAAGTGTAGGAGTCTGGGATGCTAACATTTTCCTTCGGGGAGTGGAATCACATTTCTTCAAACCTTTTTAGATTTATAGCCCTCTGAGAAAACCTCTCTCTTTCTCTCCTGGATGAGTCTTTGACCTCAGTGTTAACTCTTCTTGGGGCACAGAACAACCAGGTAGAGGAGATCTATGGTTGGAGGGAAAGGATTCCCCTGTGCAGTTGTACTTACAGCGTACTAACCTGTGCTCTGGCTTCCGTTTTCAGTACTTCACGGGGGTGGGGGGGAACGGAAGCTGTTCTTCTCCCTGGGGGCTGGTACAAAAGATGAATGAGAGCTTGGTGCCAAGTTAAAGGCACTATTCATCATGGCTTAGAATTTCAGGACTCTACCCCAGCACCAGGAAGCCACAGGTCCACCCACTCGTGCTCTTCCCATGGTCTTAAGTCCACTGAGACAGAAACCTCTGTAGATAAGGACACCAAGCTCTGCTATGATCGTAATCTCTGGTTCTGGTGACACGATTGTGCACTGTTTACTTGCCTAGACGTGTTGTCTGTGTCAGGTAAAATAACACCTTCGTCATAGAAACTCGGTAGCTTGGCAGCTCAAATCCCTTTAAGAAATGTCTCAAAGTGTGAGAAGGCTGTACCTCACTTTTTTTTTTTTTACAGAATTACCCATATTTTAGGCAGTTTACAACCAATTCCCTCAGCTTTGGGTCTCCTGAAAGACTAAACACAGGAAACACTCCTGGAAAGTAGAACTTTCAGACCTTTCAGACCTGTCTACTTTCTGAAACCAGTGATAACGCTTACAAGAACTCAAAGACCCCCTTTCTCTTGAATGAGACTGGATTTACAATAATAAAATCAAAAATTATACAGGGAACTATTTTTTGTAAATAATCTTTATTTTAGTGTCTTTGAAGGCCAGAGGTGGGCATTGGATTCCCTGGGAATGGAGTTAAAAATGGCCGTGAACCACTTTGTCAGTGCTGGGAATCGAACCCAGATCCTCTAGGAGAGTAACCTGGATGATCTTAGCTGCAGAGTCATCTCTCCAAACCCTACCTCTTTTTCTTAGATCCAAGCCTGAGGAGCAATGGGTAGAATTAGTTCCCTGCTTTTATCACACAGAGCAGGAAGCCACATATCCAGCCATGTTGTGAACTTTCTCTTTATTGAACACAGCACACTCAAACAACAGGATTGCACAGTAGCTGGGAGAGACATCCCAGCACAGCAATGTAGACTTACCCTTTCTACTGGCACCAGAGGCAACGCTGGGCATCTTGACAGTGACAGTGGCTGAGGGCAAGGCCTTTGGCACCTTCAGTGTGGAGGAACGTAGTAGGTGGGGAAAGGAAGGGAAGGGAAGGGAAGGGAAGGGAAGGGAAGGGAAGGGAAGGGAAGGGAAGGGAAGGGAAGGGAAGGGAAGGAGGAAGGAAAGAAAAGAAAAGGGAGAAGGAAAGAGAAAGGGGAGAGGCCAGCGAGATAGCTCCGTGGTAAAGGAACCTGCCACTAAGCCCAATGAACAGATTGAATGCCTAAGGCCCACATGATAGAAGGAGAGAATCAACTCCTATAAGCCATGGTGCGCACATCACACACACACACACACACACACACACACACACACGCCCCTCAAATTTAAGACCAGCTGGACATATAGCCAGACCCTACTGAAATCAACATTTAAATGAAATTAAAGCAAATAATGCATACACCCTCAGTGCCTGGGACAGTGTCCTCAGGGCCTGGGACAGTAGAGAGGTAGAAAGCCCCACAAACTGTACAGTATACCGAGTTCTGCATCAGGATGTCACTCTGTGTGTTTCTAGCCTGGATGTGTAGCTCAACTGTCAGAGTATTGCTCACCATGCACAGAGCCAGATGTGGACTTGACTCTCAGAATCCCACTTTCCAGGCGTGGCAGGGTGTGCCTGAAATCATAGCACTTGGGAAGCAGAGGCAGGAGAATCAGAAATTCAGTTTTATTCTTGGCTCCACGAGGAATTCAAGGCCAGCCTGGGCTCTGTAAGAACTTCCAAAGCCAACCAAAACCAACAACTTTTATGTGTTTCTCCAAGCTTGAGTCACATCTGCCTTTTCATAGGCTTTTTCCTGGAATGTGTTCTTGGATTTTCTGTTATCACTTCACTTTGCCTGATACCCCAGCCTCCTCCTGACCTGACTTTGAAACCTCAGAACTTTCAAACCTCAGGTCAGAGTTAGAAGCCATGATGACTCTTTCCCCAAGAACCATTCAGTATTTCTGGCGATTTGCAGCGTAAATGGACCCAGCAAGCAGAGCCCAACTGTTGACTACAATGTCCTTGCTCCCTTCACACTGGACACAGCCACTTAGTATTCCACAGACAGTTCTCTGGAGGTAAGCTCCGCCCCCCCAATCGCAGGGGGATGGGAGGAGCATGCCAGAGAGGAGCCTCCCCTGGAGGAAAGGCTCAAGATTTTTCTTTATAGTTCTCCTTTGGCATATAACTCCAAAACATTCATTTGATGGCCTCACAGAAGGTTTTCCTTAGAGTCTTCCTATTTTTAATATGAATGGAATGAAAATCCTCATATCTGAGCCACTACACACTACTCCTATACTTGTGGTGGTGCATACTTGTAATCCCAGCGTAGGGAGATGGGTCTCTGAGTTTGAGGCCAGGCGGGCTCATAGATTAAGTTCCAGGACAGCTGGGACTACACAGAGAGATCCTGTTTCAAAAAACAAAAACAAACAAACAAACAAACAAACAAAAATAAGTTCATCCTCATTTCTGACTGATGTTGTACATGAAGTCTGAACAAGGAGGGCAGTGGATCTGACCGAAGCCTTCCTCCTTCCTTTCCCTCTTGTAAAAATGGCTCTCGGTCAGTTTTCCACTTTTCTGACAAAACATCTAAAATAACCGACTTTAAAAGAGGAAACATTTGGGGCTGGAGAGATGGCTCAGCGGTTAAAAGCACTGGCTGTTCTTCCAGAGGTCCTGAGTTCAATTCCCAGCAACCACATAGTGGCTCACAACCATCTATAATGAGGTTTGGTGCCCTCTTCTGACCTTCAGGCATACATGCGGGCAGAACGATGTGTACATAATAAATAAATATAAAAAGATAAAAGAGGAAACATGTAGTTTGGTTCATGGTTTCAGTTTTTAATCTATGGAAAGGCAGAAACTGTGTGTGTGTGCGTGTGCGTGTGTGTGTGTAGGGTCAATATATCTTCTCTCATGACCTCATTTCCTGTCATCAGGGTCTATTTCCTAAAGGTTATTTCACCTCCCAGAAGTGCCACAGGCTGGAAACCAAGCCTTCAATATATGATCTTTGGGGACCATTCGTGATCCAAGCACCAAGAGACCTGCAGATTTTAGATGATCAGTAAGGAAGGCTGATTATGTCAGTTATTAGCAGGACGGCTGTGCAGCGAAAGCCATGAAGCACTCAGTCACTGCTATAGAACAGAAAGTACTCGATGCTCGTCCATCCACAGTGGTCAGTCGGGCAGATGATCTTAGTGGATTTCCATATATGTCTGTGAGCTGCTGGCTGAAAGCTGGTGTTCCACCTGTCTCTCGTATTCCAACCTGCTAGCCCATGTGTATGCTTATAGCAGTATGACGTGCAGATCCAGAGCTGGCCCACCAGGAGTTTCCTGAGTCTCAGATCGGCATGTGCTAACATCCTGTAGCCATCAATAAGTTATGTAGTAGGCATATAGTCAGGCAGAGAGGATGCTATAGAATTACCTGGTGAAAACTATTGGTGCAGGAATGTGATCAACGATCAATGTGATCAATCAGAGCCACTGTGGCAGTCGTTCCGCCGTGGTAGTTAAGCAAGCACATATAATTCGTCTTGTAGCTAATTTAACTAGGTCTTTATTCTAGGCTTCAGATGATTGTTACATTCAGAAATAGTTATTTTTCAACCTCCTCATACTCTATACTTAGTTTTCCTATCCCTAAAATACAACTTTGGCCATGCTTATCTACCCAGCAGGCACCAGTCTTATGAAGGTCTATCACTCACAACTACCCATGACTCGACAACTATAATTCAGCCATCCTAGCCCTGGCTTCCATATTGCAATGTCACTACACACCGTTTCATGGATTCTTCACCTGTTCTTGGCTGGGCCTCTAGTGAAAGGCCGAGTTTTCATCTGTCTTTCTTGAGAAATGACAATTGGAGAGAATTGAAGAGCTCTGGGATTAAGAGCATATATCTCTCTTTCTCCTCCTCTCCTCTGCTCTCCCCCTCCCCTCTCCTCCTCTTCCCTCTCTTACTTTTTTCTTCTCTTCCTTTCAGGGTAAGTTCCAACTGAAAATTTTGGTATATAACTCAGAGTGTTGGGATTCAGATCCAGGACACGCAGCTGAGGAACCTAGTTTATATACCAAAGTGGACCTGACCTGTAGGTTCTCCCAGCATCCTTCAGTATCTACCTGTTGCAAGGTATGGCTGGCTTACCTCACCCTCTACCCTGAACTCTCCAGCCCAGGGGCTGGGCTGCCCTTACTCTAGGAGTTCTTCAATGTATAATCCAGACATTCTCTCTCTCTCTCTCTCTCTCTCTCTCTCTCTCTCTCTCTCTCTCTCTTTCTCTCTTCCCCTCTGTGTGTATGTCTCTCTCTTCCTCCCTCCCTCCTTCCCTCCTTCCCTTCTTCTTTTTCTCTGTAGTTCCTCTCTCTCTGCCCCTTCATTGCTACCAAAATGCCCATCTACACCTACATCCCTCCTACAAAACCACCTGAAGCTTCTAGGGCATCCAGTAGCCAAGAGGCCTGGTGAGATGTGGCCAGACCCAGGAGGCACTAGTGGACAATTCCATCGATCCAAAGGATGTAAGCCCTGACCAAGAAATCATCTTCTCCTACTATGTGAGTTGGAAAATGAGGACTTGTCAGAGGATGTTGTGAGGGAGGTTAGCCAGAGATGAGAGACAGCCTGGGTGGGGATGGAGTACAGGACATGTGTATAAGTGCAGAATTTTACAGACATGTTACGACATTGGAAAGCTGGTTATGGTGGTATAGACCTAGAATCCCCAAACTCAGGAGGTCAGAAGTTCAAGGTTTGAATAGGTGTGGTCCCTATAGACTCATGTGTTTAAACAAGCCCATGGTGGCCAGAGAGTGGAAGGTAGTGATTTGAATATGTTTGTCCCACAGGGAGTGTACTGTTAGGAGGTGTGGCCTTGTTGGAGGAAGTGTGTCACTGTGGGGATGTCTTTGGAGGTTTCCTCCTATGCTCAGGTTTCACCCATTGCAGAAGAGAGATTCTTTCTAGCTGCCTGAGAATGCCAGTCTCTCCTGATTGCCTTTAGATCAAAATGTAGAACTCTCAGCTCCTTCTACAGCACCATGTCTGCCTGCCTGCTGCCGTACTTCCTGCTATGCCTGCGATGATGATGGACTAAGCCTGTGAATCTGTAAGCCAGACTCAGATAAATGTTTGCCTTTTAAGAGATGTCTTGGTCATGGTGTCTCTTCGCAGCAATGGAAACCTTAACTAAGACGAAGATCATTCTTGGCCACGTAGAGAGTTCAATGATAGCCTGAACTACACAAATCCCATCTCAACGAACAACAAAACCCAGCTAGGCATGTGCTTTATGCTTGTAATTTCAGTATTAAGAAGGCAGAGGCAGATGGATCAATTGCAAATACAAGATCAGATTGACCTCCACAGCAATGTCCAGTCTCAAAAAGCCAAAAGAATGAAAGATATTTAGTCTTTTTTTTCAATTATTTTTTTTTCATGCAGCACACATTTAATTTTTTTTTTTGTTTTGTTTTTCGAGACAGGGTTTCTCTGTGTAGCCCTGGCTGTCCTGGAACACAACACACTCTGTAGACCAGACTAGCCTGGAACTCAGAAATCCACCTGCCTCTGCCTCCCAAGTGCTGGGATTAAAGGCGTGTGCCACCACTGCCCGGCCACACATTTAATTCTTAACACATACCTCAGTTACAATTCACTGTACCTCAGAAGCCATGAAGACTGGACGCTGTGATGTGTTCAGTATTTGCACATACCTCCTGGCAACTGTATCTCATCATCTTGAAATAAAACAAGGCATGGGGGGGGGGGGAGATTGAAGACAGAGAAGTTTTGAACAAGAAACCCAGGGTAACTGTGTAGGCAAACAAAATGCTGGATTAACCAAAATGTTGCTAGCCAGGGCTGAAGGGGGGCGGGGAATAGGAGGGAAGGAGGGAGACTGTGGGACTCAGAAAGAGTTTCACTCTGTGGTCCATTGCTCAGCTTTTAATTTGACTTGACTGTTGCTAGTGCCGAGGCTTGAACTCAGCAAGCACTCTACCATTGAGCTGTGCGCCCTCTACCATTGAGCTGTGTGCCCACTCCTTCATTGCCACGTATATACACAGTCACACATAATACAATCTCTGTCTGTCTGTCTCTGTGTCTGTCTCTCTGTCTCTTCTCTCCTCCTCCTCCTCTTCCTCCTCCTCCTCCTTCCCCTCTCTCTCTCTCTCTTTCTCTCTCTCTCTCTCTCTCTCTTTCTCTCTCTCTGTGTGTGTGTGTGTGTGTGTGTGTGTTTGGTGAGCATACAGAGACCAGAGAACAACTCTGTGATTTGTTTTTTCCTTCTACCTTTCTGCGAGTTCCGGGACCTTCCAGCCCTAGAACGTATACTGTCTATTTGTTTGTTTGAGTCAAGATTTCTCTGTGTAGCCCTGCCTCTCCTGAAATTGGCTCTATAGACCAGGTTGGCATTGACATTAGAGATCCACTTGCCTCTGCCTCCCGAGTGTGGGGGTTAAAGGCACGCACCACTATTGCCCAGCTTCTGGACTACGTTGTTCTTAAAGCAAACTGAAAACTGACATCCATAGCAGCTTCATTAGGGAAGCACAACTCCAAATTGGTAGACAGAAAGCAGTGTGTAAAGACTAGCAAGTTACTGGCCACTCAAGATGACAGAAGGAACTAGACTCAAATAAACCTTCGGAGGGGTGACCCGGAGTCTTTTTGTTCTCTTCTCCATTTCTATGACACTCTCTCCTCTGGATCACTCCAGTTGCTTCTGTCTTTTCTCTGTCTCCAGCAAGCTAAAAACAAACGTCTCAACCCAGCAGAATGAAAGAGAGGTGTGCAGAAAATAGCAAGTCACAGCATACAGACAGGGTCCTGAGAACAGCGGCGGGTGGGGTGGGGTACGGGGAGGTAGGGCCGGGGCCTGAGGTTCAGGTGAGAGTAGGAAGTAGCTTTCTCCTCTCTCGAGAGCCAGATGCCTGGTCATCTCTGGACAGCCTAAGATCCATTTTCACCGCATTGGACCACCGCATAAAGAAAGATTGGGAGGATGGATTTTAGCTGACTTTATGCTACGAGGATTGTAAATGACAAAACTTGGAGATCCTAGAAAAATTCTGGAGAATGAACTGTCGTGGGGGGATCGCTTTTATTATCTCTGGTCTTTTGTTTCCGTCCAACCTCTACTCTGGTTCTTAGCCAAGCCTCTACTTGGAGAACCGCCATCATGAGGCCCTGTGGGCAGCCCCCTGCCTCCGATAAGCAGATGGCTGCCAGGTGAGGTAACAGACAGGCTCTGGAAGTGTGACAAGAGCTGGTGTTCACAGCGAGATACAGAAACGGCCCTAGGTGGGGCCCAGAGGAAAGAAACTGTCTTCTGAGCTCTGAGTTTTCTCTCTCTCTCCATTAGTCATCAGGGAAAGGGAGTTTGCAAATGGAGGGGCAGAAACACCTGAGGGTTAAAGGGAACGGTGTGTGCACATACCGTTATGTGCAAGAGAGATGCGTTACAGTCCTAGTTCCTATGCACAGAGGCAACTGGAGGAAAATGCTAATGATAACCAGAGACTGCGAGGCAGTGTGGACCCCGAGGCTTCACAGACACTGGAGCAGAGCAGAGGTGAGTGTAGAACGGCTTGTGTAGGTGAACATGCGGCTCTTGTTTCCTCTGTCCCTATTTTTCCGGCCGGAAAAGCTCCTGCTCTCTCTCACTGACCTTCACCTCCAGGCTGGCCCCTCCCCCTTCCCTCATCATCCACAGCACATTTCTCAGCAGAGCTGTCACAGCTGACGAAATGCAGTTCTTCGTGGAGATGTGCTCTGGCAGTCTGGTGAGAGGGGATAGAGAAGAGGGAAGAAATGAGTTGGGCCGAGCCGCGGTGGCGCACGTCTTTAGACTCAGCGTTCGAGAGGCAGAGGCAAGCGGATCTCTGAGTTCCATGCTGCCCTGAGCAAGAGAACAAGCAAGCTTCAGGACGGTCAGGGTTACAAAGAAAAATCCTGTCAAGAAGGGGGAGGAGGGGGGAGGGGAGGGGAGGGGAGGGGAGAGAGAGGGGAGAGGAGGGGGGAAGAGGAGGAAGGAGTTGGGCAAAAAGAAAGATCTTGTGTGTTATGGGGTTGGAGACGAAGCAAGTTCAGTGCAGTGTGAAGAGAATATGGAAGTCGGCTGTCACACTGAACCTGCATTTAGAAAATCTTTAGTGTTTAGATCTATGCTGAAACCTCTTTCTCCACCCCACCCCCTCAAATCCTCCTCCTGGTCTCCATCCTCCTGTTCCTCCTCCTCCTCCTGATCGCCCTCTTCCTTCTCCTCTTCATCCTCCTCTTGCCACCTCCTAAAACCATATTAGAGCTGGAGGTGGATCAGATGACTGTGAATTCAGGAACACTTTAAAGAATGGCTTCTGCTCTCAGAAGTCAAATTCTGAGGACTAACATCTGTAGAAAGCATAAACATCTTTATTTTTAATGAATATATGGCTGAGCTAGTTAGACCTCATTAGTCATCATATCGAAGTCTCCTGCGATGTCATCTTCTTCTCCTTGTGGTTTGGGGACTGGAACCCATGCATGCTTTCTGTCACCGAGCTGCTCACCAAACCACAAGTGACCTAGTAAGTGTTCTGGTCTCCAAGGGAATACTGGGTCATAATCACTAGTTTCACCATCAATAAGAAAAAGATATTTTGGTTCAAACCTTGAAGGATCCTTGGCTGTCGTTCTGGTAGTAAGATGAAGACACCTCCCTCGACACTTCATTTGTTGGTCTCTTTGGTGATGGTCTGGATATGCGCTTGAAAAGCTTTATTAGATGCCGAAGTCAAGAAGCCAGAAGATGGCAGTTGCCACCCTCCACACTACATCACCGCCATTCAGAGAGGTTAGCTGATGCCGTGGGACCCGGGATTCTGAAAACCTCCTCTGCTCTCAGACAGAGTCTGGAGTCTGTCACCTCAGATTGGTTCTGTGTTGTAGATGCAGGACATTTCCAGAATGTCCAGGAAGAGCCTTTGAAGCCCGAGTCCCTTATCTGTTCAGTCTCTGGCCACAGCTCTTTGTCCGTACTTCCCCAGTGGCCTTTCTGACCTCTCTCCTCCGTGGCGATCCTTTTCTTTGTATGAGTTCTCTGGTTGGCTCTGAATTTCTTACTAGCCTCCTCGATCATAACGGGAGTCTTGTTTTCCAGTGTTTTCTTCTTAGCCTTGTCAGCAGATGGCGGTGTTGCCCCGAAGGCTGGGTTGGCATCGCCGTCTCCCGCAGACAGAGGGCTCTCAGGCTCCCAGAGACCAGGCTGTGGGAACTGGTTCCAGTAAGTTTCCTGTGAGTGATTGGCGATGGAGGAGAGTGTGCAGAAAACTCAGAATCGTCATTTGGAAAATCTCAGTGTCAGGAACTCCTCCCCCGGAGAACAGACTCCACACCCACGAAGCGCAGACTGCATGCTCACCGTAAGTCCACACCGATATGTTCCCGTTTTGACAAGCCACAAGCCACATAATCGTGTCACCCTTCTCTCGTGCCTGAACATCTCCCTTATCAGAGGACTCCCATGCGGTGCGGATGACTATTTTTCCTTCTGCAGATCAGTTCTTTCGAAGGCGCTCCCGCTCCTTCCCCTCCCTCTCAGAAAACCGCACTTAGGTTCTTGTGTGTTCTTGGGAAACAAGGTGATCCAGGCCAGTTTCCCGTGCCATCACTGAGTGGAAGGCTGTGACAGCCTACACCTCCCATTCCAGAGGCTTCAGCCGGGCCTGCTTTCCCACCCTTCTCTGTTGACCTGGCACTGCTTTTACTCAGTCATTTGTGGGAAATCTCTCTGTCTTACTATCACCTCCTTCAATTACCTAAAGGACTGCATCAAGGTGAGACTGGGGATACCGGAAGCAGTGCAGCCCTGGAGTCTTAGGACCACACCACAAGTCTGACCCTAAATTGGAAGCATACCAGATTTCCCTGGGAAAGGCCACGTAGTGTCTCGGGCCCCTGAGTTTCCCTAGCACTATCTTCTATGCTTGCAGCCACCTTTCCCTCCTCCCCCCTGCCCCCTCCCGCCTCCCTCTTTCCTTCCTTCATATGTAAGTTGAGCACATGGCTTCAAGCCCCCTAACCAAATGCACTTTTTAAACTTATGTTTATCCTTTGACAGTTCCATACATGAATACAGTTTTATCCTTCCTACCTCCCGCTATTCTCTCTCATCCCATTCCCACCTCCCAGCCTGCTTTTTACTTTGAGATAGAGTCTCCACGAAGCTGCTTCCACTGGCCTTGAACTCACTCTGCATCCAAGACTGGATTTGGACTTGAGCTCCTGACCCAGCCTTCCGAGGAGTGTTTACGGGCCCACACTGCCACACTCCACTTTCTTATCCTTTATCTCTTAATCATTCAGGTTCAGACTCACGTGACCCCATCAGATGAGTGCCGCGTAGAATCACGGGTAGATTATCTGGCCTCCAGCTGCCTATGAGCTGATGAAACAAAGACCTGTCAAACTGAGTAAGCGGGAGGACTGGACAGGCTGGGAAGCCAGCAGGGTTTGGAGACCTCTGTTTCCTGCTGCCTTCGCTTGTTTCTGCTTTCCTCCCTTTTATTTACTTCTGTCCTTCCCTTCCGAGGCTACGAGGTAAGTAAATGAGAGAAGGCTCAAAAAGACATCCAAACAAATCCATCCAATCTGGAATATCCTGAGTGTGAAAGGGGAGTTTTTGATACTTAAAACAGGACAAGGACCCACCACAGGACAGCTACTATTCTGCTTTAATGTGTTTACCCATTTCTTTAAAATATTTTGTCGGGTTGGAGAGATGGTTCAGCGGTTAAGAGCACTAACTGCTCTTCCAGAGGCTCTGAGTTCAATTCCCAGCAATCACAGAGTGGGTCTCAACCATCTGCAATGGGATCCAATGCCGCCTTCTGTGTGTCTGAAGACAGCTACAGTTTACACATATACATAAAAATAAATAATTTAAAAATATTTTGTAATAATATCTTTTCTTCTCCTGTTGTAAATTGTCATCTCTGAGGCTTACTGCCTCTGTCTGCTAGCCTGCTAACCTAGGTCTAATTCTGGAAACTTATAGCCTCTGTACAATCTTATCTAGGCTTAGAATGTTTTCAGCCTCTGAGACTTGCTGCTGAATAGGCTCACCCTTTCTTCTTCTTTCTGAACTCTATTGAATCAGCTGAATTGCTGTGCTTGGCCTCAAACTAACTCTGGCAATCTTTTCTATTCTTCTGGCTCCTTCTCATTCTCTGGCTCATTCTGTCTTCACCTGTGTCTAGCTTGTTCTTTCTTTAACCTGTTTCTGTAAAACTCTTCTGATAAAACTGCCTTCTCTCTCTGTCTTTCGCTCTTTCTCTCCTTTTTCTTGTCTGCACTGCTCTCTTAAGTAGCCTCTTTTTTCTGCCTGTTCTTGTGAGAGTTGGGCATATCCTATTCTGTCAAATCTTTCCTTGATTTGTCACTTTGTCTGTCATTCAATTAGACACCACTTTCAAACATGGGCATGCCCTTCTACAAACTAACTTTCCCTTCATTGTTTAGGATTAAAGGTGTGTACTAAGAGCATGTCTGAATTCCAGCCAGAAGGATGAAATGTGTGCTAAGACTGAGCCACACCACAACTAGAAACAGATTTTTCAGCAAATAACCCAATCTCAGGGTACACAGTGTGATCAAATATCCTGTAACAATATTCAATTTTTTAATTTTATGTGTAATGTGTACATGCCAGAGTGTGTGTCCATGTGCCATGTACATACAGGTTCCTATGGAGGTCAGAAGAGGACATCAGATCCTTGGAACTGGAGTTCTAGGTGGTTGTGAGCCTCTATGCTCATATTGGGAATTGAACCAGGGTACTCGAAAAGAGCAGCCAGTGTTCTTAACCTTTGAGTCATCCTTCCAGCCCCTATACCAACTCATTTAATCTTCATACCAACCAACTGGCTGTTCTCCTGGAGTAAATATATGCAGTCAAAATATGGCCTTTGATGTATTAGTTATAAACCACTATAACACTTAGTAGGTTGGAAGAACAAACATTTATACACAGTCACATATATTCCAGGTTGGCCTAAAATTGGCTTTGTAGCTGAGGATGGTCTTGAACTTCTGATCCAAGCCTCCAGCTCCCAAGTGCTGGGATTATGGACATATGCACTTGGTCTCTATGACAACCAGGTCTCTCATGAAGTGGTATTGGCTGTGGTCTCACCTGAAGACTTGAGAAGAGAAGGTTTGCTTTCAAGCTCACTTCAAAGCCTCTGTTTCTGTCTAGCACATGGACTGAATGCCACAGTTCTTGGCTTCAGCTGTCAGCTGGAGTTCTCATTCTGTAGCTCACCACAGGAGTCTTTTCTGGGCTGCTTCAACACAAAGCAGCTGCCTTTCTACAGAGCTAGTAAGCCTGCACCCTAGAGAGAACCTGCAGTCTTTGTATAATAGCAAAAAGAGATAACCCATTACTTCTGCTCTGTCTCTTCATTAAAAATGAGTCACTTGGGCTGGGAACCTGCTTCAATGGTAAAGTGATGGCCTAGGATGTGTTACAAGGCCCCTAGTTCCATCCTCAGCACCAAAACGATAGCATAAACCAAACACCCTACCCTACTCAATAATGTCATTCAATCCATCCCTGACCTCAAAGCAGGTAGCCATCAAAATGCAGTGCTCCTGCATGCACTCTTGACAGTCACTTTTCACACTGCGTCCTCCTCACTGGCATCACCCAGGACTCTCTGAGAAATGCAGAGTCCAGGCTGTCTCCAGGCCTCTGAGTTTGCACTGTGACAAGATCCCAGGCCTTGCCAGTCTGAGATTCTAAAGGAAAAGAGACCTCACTAGTCCCTCTGATGGCTGATACCTTCCCTTCCTTTATCTCCCCTGAGGTCACGTTAGCTCCACTGATATAAAGACTCTGTGGCTGGAAGGGAGTTGTCTCTAACAGGGGCTGGAGTGACACTCTCATCAAGTCAGTCTTTGTCAAGGTGAGTGTCCTTCAGGCGTGGTATCAGAGGTGGAGAAGACAACCACACAGGGTGCTCAGTGTCCCTTCCTGCCAGTCAGTTTCATGGCCTACACACTCCACCCCCAGTCTGGAAACTTCTGTGTTGTCCTCCCTTGGCTCTCTGTTTTAACCTTTTGACTAATTCGTACCCATAGCCTGTGAAAGTGCTCAGTGTGAAGACTGGCTCGCTGCAAATACCCAAATGAATGTTTGCTTCCCTTATTAAAATTCATGACCTCATCAGTTGTTGGAGGTTTTTTTCTTTTTCTTTTTTTTTAGATTTATTTATTTATTTTATGTATATGAGTACCCTGCTGCTGTCTTCAGACACACCAGAAGAGGGCATCAGATCCCATTACAGATGGTTGTGTGCCACCATGTGGTTGCTGGGGATTAAACTCAGGACCTCTGGAAGAGCTCTAAACCACTGAGCCATCTCTCCAGCACCTAGTTACTGTTTTAATCCATTATAAATCCCATTGTTAAGCCTCTGAATTTTTTTCTAAAGTTGTCCCTAGCTGTAGGCTATGCCTAGAAAATTATTTATAGAAAGAGCCCGTCCCTGGATTGAAACAAGTCCTTCTATGCTTTGAAGAAAATCTCTCCACTTAAATTTTGAGAGAAGCCATGAGAACACAGGGAAGGGCTTCCTCCCCATCTTCCCTGCTTCTGTTCCCATCATGCTGTTCATCTGATGCTCACCCCATTGTATCATGCAACCCAAAGAAGTCTCATGGAGAAGACTCACAAGCCAAAAGGTGGGTGGACCCGAGAGCATGCCTGGGAAGATATCTCTTGGATTTTCATAGCCAAAAAGATGATTATGCTAGATTCGACAGTGCAACCTGTAATCCCGCTGAGTGCAGAAGCAGGAGAATCACCACAAGTTTGAGGTCAACTTGGTCTAAACTGAGACTTTTAGGCTAGTCAGGGAGAGATCTTGTCACCAAACCAAACCAAATCAACCAACCAACCAACCAACAAACCAAGCAGAGAAATGTGCAGGACTAGAAGGGAAGGTGGACCTGGGTTATAACCCCTAATAGGATCAAGGAACTGAAGGACAGGATTAAAAGAAGAAGAGAAGGAAGAGGAGGAAGAGGAGGAGGAGGCAAAGAAGAAAGAGAAGGAGGAGGAGGCAAAGAAAAAAGAAGGAGGAGGAGGAAGAAGAAGAGGAGGAGGAAAATTCTAAGGAGAACATTTATGATTCCTTGAAATTTATTTTCAGCAAAAATCACTATGAATTGGCTTAAGAACCTCTTCGTGCCACCCAGTAGAAAGTACTAGAAAGCACTGAGTATAGGAAAACCTAGAATCCAGAGCTCAACTCAGAATCCCATGATTTTCACCACCCACTTCTCGTTTCCTCTGTGGTCACTGGAGAGACAGCTTCAGAATCTCTCTCCCTGGAGCTCCCCGTGGGTGTTGTTCCTGAGGCTTACTTACTGTTCTGCATAAGCAGTGGCCACCTTGCTCAGAAAGGAAGAGGTGGGCTAGAGGCTGCACAGGTACAGTGGGGTGGCACATGGACACGAAGTATCCCCACTCCAACGGAAAGGAAGAAGAAAGTCAGATCCTGAGCAACAGCCGTGCCGCCATAGATGGGATTGCCAACCTAGCTTGAAATGAAGCATGGTTTGGGGCTGCAGGTTAACAACACATTCTGCTCTTCCAGAGGACCAGAGTTTAGTTCCAAGCAGCCATGTCAGTTGGCTCAAAATTGCTTGTAAGTGTAGTTCCAGGGGATCTAGCAAACTATTCTGCCTTTTGAGGATACTTACACACGCGTGCGCGTGTACGCACACACAAACACACACACTGATAAAATACGTCTCTTTTTAAAGGAAGGAGTTGGGGCAGGAGGAAGCCCAATGTTACAGATATTTGATATGTACAGATATCGGATATATATTTGAGTTTAGGTTATCTATGAACTGGGTAGGAAAAAAGGTAAAATGTTTGCAGCAGCCATTCAACCGGGAAGTACTTGTGTTCCACTAGGGAAGGTAATGACCACAGTCACACAAAGAGTGCACTTCACTCCTTTGGGAGAACAGTGGGAGTAGACATGGAGTTTGATGTGTCCATCCTGCCACTGAACCCATACGTGACCTGAATACGTTCACAGATAACCCCAGCCTTCTGTTCCTTCTGGGAAGCATTGATTGTAACCATGTCTCAGGACTGACATGCAGACTAGACTATGCGATACGGAGTTGTCACCACAACATCTCACACCCGGCAGGATCCAGGCGACTGTTCAGTACTTACTTTATTCTCTCGTTCCTTCCAGTCACTTCTGCTGTTGTGACTGTGATGTATCAGAAACTCTGACACTGCAGTCATTTCCCTCCTATGTGTATGTTCACGAAACTGGTCTTCACTCTGAAAACATGGGGCGTGTCTTTTTGCTTCCTGTCTCTGCCAAATTCTTTTAATACAGTTGGTACCAAGTACATGCTTGTAGAACTTTAGTGAACCTAATGTCCAAAACACAAATGAGTCATAGTATCAGGGTAGCTAGCTTATGGGCTGTGTGCTGCGTCAGTAGTTATAACTTGGAGAAAGTATCAGCACTCTGGGTGCCCGGGCAAATGCGCTTATTTGGGGATAAATTTATGTGCAGTTGAAGAGCTTAAGTACTAAGTAGGGCAGTTTTGATACATCACTTGTCATCTCCAGCAACAAAATCCCGCTACTCCCTTAAGTGACCTGTGTGCTTTCTGGAGCTCCTGCATCTTGTACAGTCCCGGTGTTAGAGAACTATATTAGACTTGCTTGTAAGAAATGTAACTCTTTCCCGATGCTTGTCCTTTTGACCGTGAACCCCTTTTTGTTTGTTTTTCTGGTTGGTTTAGTTTGCTGTATGCTTATGGGTGATTTGTCTGCATGTATGTGTGTATGCATGCCTGGTGCCCACAGACGTTAGAGAGAGGCCATCAGATCTCCTGGAACTGAAGTTACAGATTGTCGTGAGCCACCATACAGGTGCTGGGAACTGAACTCAGGTCCTTTGCAGTCAGAGCTCTAAACCACTGAGCCACCTTCCTAGCTCCTGGCTCTTTAAATGTAGTTAAAGTGTAAACTTATTGTTTTTCCCCAGGACAAACAGCAATCACTCACTAAATCATAGCTAATACATGTTAATAATAATAATAAAAAACCCTCCTCATAAGAATTCCTTCTTTTTTCTTTTTTACGACATCCTTTATTCCTCTCTGAATTCTAGGAGACCTCACGGACTCAGCTCTGCAGCACCTAGGTGGTCTGGTGGAGATGCCCAGAGGCTGTGGAGAGCAGAGCATGGTCATTTTTTGCTCCCATCATCTATGCACCTGGGGAAAACAGGGCTGCTGACAGAGGAGACCCAGTCTCGGGCAGTGGACTTCCTGGAGACAGGTAAGTTAGGCCGTTCTACATTGGACCATCTTTTCTAAGGCTTACAATAGGTTCATAAGCTAGAGAGAAGTTTGGTCTCTGAAGTGTCCCACATCCTTGAACATCTTGAAGATGTGAGTTAAAGTTGTCATGAGCTCTAAAACCACAGCTTGCTCTCTCGGGGTCTCAGAAGGAACTGATGTATAAATACAGCAATGGCTCATGGAGTGCCTTTGGGAACAGGATGGAAATAGTAATACATGCTAACGCTGCCTGCTTTCTGACAGGTCCTGTACTCCTGTACTCCGAAACCTGTTTCTGGTTACTTGAATCACCCACTCTCTCTTCCTTCTCTCTGTGCAATCCCTGTTCCTCTTATTCTTTGCCTCTGGCCTTTAATGAGGCTCAGTTTTGCTCACACTTGGTCAAGTTTCTCACTCTCCTCCTGGACCTCATACCTGCCTACTTCACCCTTTTCTAGGTCTCTATTACTCTGTGTCCCCCTCTTGGCTCTCTTCTAGAACCAGAACAAACTGGAATTGTGTGCTGTCATCTGGAGACTCCCTGCTTTCCGCTGTGCTTTATCTTCAGTCTTGTAGGTTGACAGCCTTTGTCACAAAATGTTTCCACAAACCTCAGAAACTCATCTTCATTGATGACAAAAAATATCCAGGATGCCCTCAAGTGGATGGCAGGAAACCAGCTCCCTGGTAGCTGCTATACTAATGTGAGAAAGCTCCTGCACACAGCTCTCAATGAGATCCACCCCAGGGCCTGCAACCCCCACTGTGTACAGGTTTAGCCCTACTGTGGGTGATCTTGGTCAAGTGCTTATCAATCTGACCCTCAGTCTTCAAATCTGTAGAATGAAAAGAGACTTTGGAGTTTGGTGTTCAGATCACGAGCATCAGCTGGGATGCCTGAGATGCAAATCCTGGCTCCTACCCCAGACTCAGTGAGTGAGAACTGGGAGTGGAAGTCAGGAGCCTGTGGTGATTCCATTAGATGCTGACATTTCAGACCACTGGACAGCCTCTGGGTCTCCTGCTATTGCCTCAAACCTAAAGAGATCCATTTCTCAGTGTCCTGTGTAAGGGGTTTGTTTACTCTGTACCAGGTAGTGGTTTCAGGACTTGTTTATTTCTTACTGTTTAGAACAAATCATCGAGCTAAGAACCTGTTTGCTGCTATCAATCTCATTTACAGATGAAGGGTCAGAGACACAGTAAATAACCTAACTTGATCCCACAAAACTAACTCCCTAAAAGTCCAACCACCTCCCAGTAGCACCACAGGCAGGGGACAAAGCCTTTGACCCATGTGCCTTTGCTCTGGCATGTCATTGGCAGGTACTTCAAGGAGGTACACAAAAGGAGTTGACTAGAACCACATTCCAGGATTCTGGTTTTTTTCTCCTTCTTTCTTACCAGAGCCAAACAGCCCATTAAGAAACTCATCACCATGCCAATAAATTCAGTGCATTGACATGAAAACGCCAGTTAAACTCTGTGTCTTCAAATCCTGGGCTTATAGTATTTTAGCTATGCAACCGTGGGCAAGCCGTTTCATCTTTTTAAGTACTCATTTTCTTAACAAAGAACAAGGATAACTTAGCTTCAGTGCTTTTTTCAAATTTTCTAGGCTCTTTCTAGGAAGGTGGTGTCTTAGTTAGGGTTTCCATTGCTGTGAAGAGACACCATGACCAAGGCAAGTCTTATAAAGGATAACATTTCATTGAGGCTGTCTTACAGGTTCTGAGGTTTAGTCCATTATCTTCATGTCAGGAAGCATGGCAGCGTCCAGGCAGGTATAGCACTGGAGGAGCTGAGAGTTCTACATCTTTATATGAAGGCAGCTGGAAGACTGACTCTTGAGGCAGCTAGGAGGAGAGTCTCAAAGCCCACCCCCACAGTGACACACCTTCCAACAAGGACACACCTCATAATCATGCCACTCTCTGTGTCAAGCATTTCAAACAACTATAGGTGGTAAACAGGAAGTGTTTTACTTAACCTTCCCTGGACCAGGGGCTGGCCTTCGTTCTTTGGGGAAGTTACCTGTGAGACACTTATTCCTCCACCTTTAACCTTTGATCTTCAAACTTCTCTTAGATTTTCTAAATGCCCACTGAGCTAGCGGCTGGCCATCTCAGGCTGCCGTCTCCTATGGCTTTTGTCGAAGTCCTCCTTGCCTCACTGTACGTCCTGGGCACTCAGGGCTGCAGAAAGCTCCAATGGAGACGGTTCCTTCTTGCAATCTGTGCATTATTCTTAGACGTGTCGACTGCTGTTCTGATGTCCCATCTCCCTGTTCCCTGCTAGGGTGGTGTTGATGATGAAGTTCAATGTGAGTTTCCTAAGCCCTTGTCTTGCCTGTCCCTAGAGACATTTATTCATCTTTGTCACTAGTCACCTTGTTATTATATATCTATATCTATATCATCTACCTTGTCTATATCATCAATATCATCATCTATATAATCATCTATATCATCATCTATTTCATCTAATCATCTATATCATCCATATCTAGATGATGTGCACGTGTGTAGATTAGAAGACAATTCACAGGAGTTGATTGTTTCCTTCCACCACATGGACTCTAGATATTCAACTCCGGTCAAGAGGCTTGGTGTCCAGCAACTTCATCTGTGGACCCACCTGGGCCACTACTTACAATGTCAAAGTCAAGGAAAATGTGATGGCTTCCTTCTTGCCTCCCATTTTATGAGCAACGCCTTATGAATTCAGTTGTTCATCTTGACCTTTTAGGACGCTATGGTGGGACAAGGCCTACCATGCTTCAGAAAGCCTTCCACTGGCAGCCTCTTCACAAGGCCCTGCTTGCTTATAGCGTCTCTCTGGCTGAAGACATGGAAACCAGAGTGCCTTTCTTCTCAGGTTAGATCCATTGTCTCTGGTGTGTTGGTCATGCTGGCCATTCTTTGGAAGTGCAACAGTGTGCTGTGAGTGAGCCACCATTTTCTGTACCATCCTTTGCCTCACATATATTCAGATTTAGGGATTATTTTGGTAGAAGTTGAGTCATAAGCTCATCTTTGGAAGTTTTGAGAGAAAACCCATTTAGGCCCTCAAAAGACATCGTTGTATATTCTGAACATGGGGAATGTGTTTGTTGAAGCTGGTCAGATTTATTAGTGGTTAGAATCACTGTTTTGGAGACCTTTTGCCCAAGATCAGTTTGGGTATATTTAGAATAATATTAGAAGTTACAACAGAGTCCTAAGTGAAACATGAGTGCACTTTCTTTATCTGTGTAGATGGAATTATATTTCCAGGTAGACATGTCATCTCAGTTTCCATCTCTGTGATACCACTACCTCACTGTCCTCCCATATGAATGCAGGATAGCTTTTTGTCTTATGTGTACATGGCTCTTGCTGAGAGTGAGTGGCACACACCCATTCCCCATAAGATTGATTTATTATGTTTGTCTCCTTTGCCTTATCTTGAATTGTAAGTAATGTACTTGCTGTTTTGTTCTTCCAGATAGATTACCTCATTGGGTTATTTATTATTTCTACTTCTTTTTATATAGTCACCTTCCATTCTTCTTATTCCCACGTGTTCTTTTTCTCAGGTTATCCATCATCATGGTTTACTACTGCTCCATGTTGTACCTGTTTGTGCTCCCTGGTCTACCTGTCTGTGCTCCATGTTCTACCTGACAGTGCTCCCTGGTCTACCTGTCTGTGCTCCATGTTCTACCTGACTGTGCTCCATGTTCTACCTAACAG